ACCATATTGCACCCATGAGAAGACGGCCAACCAAAGCCTAAAGACGATGTAAAGTGCTTGCTTGTCGTCTTGAAAGATCTCACAGTCAACCGCAGTCCTGCATATCCTCATATAGGACCACCACCTGGCCCGCCACAGGGAAAAGGCGGAAGAGTGTTACAGATACACCAAGGTAAAGGTAGAAATTCGGGGAAGCTAGCATCATCCTTCTACGACCAGTTGCTTCTGCCTACTGCCTTTATCCCTCTGACAAAAAAGCGTGCACGCGCGTATACACATCATGCCCCGTTTGACACACACCCCTGACCGCGTCCTTACATAGCGCCTCTACCTGCAACAGCACCGGAAAAGATTCACAACCAGGGGATGATTTCATGCTTCTCTCCCCCCCCCGCCCCCTTTTTCTGCGTGCCTGCCAGCCTGTGAGCCCCGTAACCTAACACCTGCCACTCCTCTGGCAAGCTGTCGGCCTCGTCGCCCAGTCCTCACTACTCACTCCCTCGCTCACTCAGTCATAGGTGCTGGACCTGATGCGACAAAGGGCCCCGGCGCACACGCGCAGGGTTTGTAGTTGAATAACACGTCTTTTATAACCTGCCCAACACAACACACAGCAGGCGATTTGCACGCACATGGAACCGAACACATTGACAATAGACACAATCTGTTAGCCCCACAACTGCATGTTTTTAACCATGGTTAAGCACCGATAGAGGGCAGTGCGTAACCGCAACTGCACGTTTCTAACCACGGTTAATCCAAAAGTATTCACAAAAGACATCTGTTAACCACAACTGCATGTTTCTAAGCATGGTTAAGCAGTAATAAACAGATATGAAAGGTGGTGCTTCACCACAACTGCATGTTTTTAACCATGGTTAAGCAACGATGGAAGGCGGTGCTTAACCACAACTGCATGTTTCTAACCATGGTTAATCCAAAAGTATTCACAAAAGACATCTGTTAGCCACAACTGCACGTTTCTCACGATGCTTAAGCACGGGGACCCCCCATATACCCCTTTCAATTTCACTGTGGTTTAGGATCGCTGACCATGGTGAATGTCCAATGTATGGCACAATTACAACGACTGTGCCTCAGAATCTGAGCAGTCCGAGAAAAGAATACGGTCAAAGGGACCGTACATGCAAAACTATCCACCCAGCCAGCATCTGGTACAGGCACAAATGAATAATAATCATGGAACCCAAAAAAAAAACAAAAAAACAATAGCAAATAAATAACAAGTTTTAACAACATAAAAATAAGTGGTCGGAATTCGATGAGAGGCGGCCCTCCAATCATCAGCAAAAGGCATTGAGCTTAATACATGAATAGCTTTTATGTTGTTAAAACTTGTTATTTATTTGCTCCCGATTTCCGCACCCGATTTCCGGCTTTTATTTAATAACGGGAAAGGTGTTGAGTGGGGGACAAACCATTCATTGAATTTCATTCTAAGGGATGCTGCACCCGATTTCCGGCTTTTATTTATGCTTTTATTTATCTGTATCAATTATCTACATAATACTCAAAGGAAAAGCCGGTCCCCGTAAGACGCTCACTGTGGGCCCACGGAAAATACGTCCCACGGGGTTGCCTCACGGTACTTGCGGTGCCAGCACTGCGTGTTTTGAGGAGCGAGGTCGTCGGTTCGAGGGCCTGGGAGGCGTTCGCCAGCGCTGCTTTTGTTTTTTTTTGGGCTTCGCAATGACGCCGTTAGTTCTAGGGCATGGTTGTTGTTGTTGTTGTTGTTTTTTTTTTTTTTTTTTTTTTTTTTTTTTTTTTTTTTTTTTTTTTTTTTTTTTTTTTTTTTTTTTTTTTTTTTTT